GGTTTCACTGTGTTAGCCAGGATGGTCTTGATCTCCTGACCTCGTGATCCACCCACCTCGGCCTCCCAAAGTGCTGGGATTACAGGCATGAGCTACCGCGCTCGGCCCATCCATTGATTTTTCAACATTTTATTGCAAAACTTTTCAAACAGGCCTGGCATGGTGGCTCCACACCTGCAATCCCAGCACTTTGGGAGGCCAAGGCAGGTGGATCACTTGAGATCAGGAGTTCCAGACCAGCCTGGCCAACATGGTGAAAACCTGACTCTACTAAAAATACAAAAAAATTAGCCAGGCGTGGTGGTGCACACCTGTAATCCCAGCTACTCGGGGGGCTGAGGCAGGTGAATCGCTTGAACCCAGGTGGTTGAGGTTGTAGGGAGCCGAGATCTCGCCACTGCACTCCAGCCTGGGTGACAGAGCAAGACTCCGTCTCTAAATAAATAAATAAATTGGCTGGTCGCCATGGCTCACGCCTGTAATCCCAACACTTTGGAAGCCAAGGCAGGTGGATCACCTGAGGTCAGGAGTTCAAGACTATCCTGGCCAACATGGCGAACCCCATCTCTACTAAAAATACAAAAATTAGCCAGGTGTGGTGGCACACGCCTGTAGTCCCAGCTACTCCGGAGGCTGAAGCACAAGAATCGCTTGAACCCAAGGGGGCAGAGGTTGCAGTAAGCCGAGATCAAGGCACTACACTCTAGCCTGGGCGACACAGCAAGTCTACCGTCTCAAAATAAAAAACTTTCAAACATACGAAAAAAGTTGAAAGGATTGTATAGAAATACAATGCTGGTCACTAAAATGAAGTTTTAATTCACTAGGCAAGCCAACGAGAGCCCATCTATGGGCTGAATTTAGCCCATAGATGGGTGGGCCCCACTTTGCAACTTCTGATTTGGAGGTTGCAATGGTTAAAGGCTGCAAAATCCAGGGGATGAGCTCTGGGTCCGAGGGCTGAGACCAGAGGGGAGCCCCTGAAGCGTTGTACCAAGGAACCTGTGCTACCTTCCCTCGAGTTAGACAGAGTCCTCTCTCTAAGATAGGCCACAGTTGTTACCACCCATCCCTCTCAGAGAACTCTGTGCCCCTCCTGCCATAGCCCACTGCTCCAAGGAGGAGGGACATCTGAAACTGCTGTAGGGCCAAGCCAGTGGCTCCTGCCTGTAATCCCAGCACTTTGGGAGGCTGAGGCAGGAGGATTCCTTGAGCCCAGGAGGTCAAGACTGCAGTGAGCCATGTTTGCACCACTGCACTCAAACCTGGGTGACAGGGTAAGACCCTGTCTCAAAAATAAATAAATAAATAAATAAATTCAAGATTAAACTCCTCAGGCACCTCCCAAGCAAATCCCTTCCCCCAAACATAGGTGTTATGGACTAAATGTTTGTGTCTCCCCAAAATTCATATGCTGAAGCCTAACTCCTAGTGTGGCTGTGTTTGGAGATAGGCCTCTAAGGAAGTAATTCAGGTTAAATGAGGCCATAAGGGTAGGGCTCTGATTTGATAGGATTAGTGTCCTTTTTTTCGTTTTTTCACTTTTTTTTTTTTTTGAGCTAGGGTCTTGCTCTGTTGCCCAGGCTGGAGTACAGTTGCACAATCAAGGCTCACTGCAGCCTCAACCTCCTGGGCTCAAGCGATCCTCCCACCACAGCCTCCCAAGTAACTGGGACTACAGGCATCTGCCAGCACACCCAGCTAATTTTTGTATTTTTTGTAGAGACAGGGTCTCACTATGTTGCCCAGGCTGGTCTTGAAGCAATCCTCCCACCTCAGCTTCCCAGTGCGCTGGGATTACAGGAGTTAGCCACCAAGCCTGGCCCTTCTGTTTTTTAGATGTGGGATCTCACTATGTTGCCCAGGCTGGACTCAAACTCCTAGGCTCAATCAAGTCTTCCATGTGAGTCTCCCAAGTAGCTGAGATTACAGTCTTGCACCTCCTGCCCAGCTTCCAGGATTGATGCACTTGTAAGAAGAGATATTAGAAAGCTTGTTCTTTCTCTCTGCACCAAGGAGCACATATGAAGACAGAGCCAGAAGGTGGCTATTTACAAGCCAGGAAGAGAGCCCTCACCAGAAACCAACTGTGCTAGCATCCTGATCTCAAACTTGCAGCCTCCAGAACCATGAGAAAATAAATTTTAGTTGTTTAAGCCACCCAGTCTATGGCATTTTGTTTTGTTTGTGGAATTAGGCCAGTGGCTCTTGCCTGTAATCCCAGCGCTTTGAGAGGTTGAGGCAAGAGGATTGTTTGAGCCCAGGAGATCAAGGCTGCAGTGACTAATATGATGGGCAGTGGAGAAAGTAGGAAGGTCTAAGGTGTGGAAATGTCAGAGGCGTTTGAACCAGAGCAACTCCATCTTGAATAGGAGCTGGGTAAAATGAGGCTGAGACCTACTGGGCTGCAGATGGTTAAGGTATTCTAAGTCATAGGATGAGACAGGAGGTCAGCACAAGACACAGGTCATAAATACCATGCTGATAAAACAGGTTGCAGTAAAGAGGCCAGCTAAAACCCACCAAAACCAAGATGGTGATGAGAGTGACCTCTGGTCGTCCTCGCTGCTACACTCCCATCTGTAAACTGATGCCATGGCAATGTCAGGAAGTTACCCTATATGATCTAAAAAGGGGAGGCATGAATAATCCATCCCTTGTTTAGCATATCATCAAGAAACAATCAGAAAAATGGGCACCAGTAGCGCGTTAGGGCTGCTGCTTTGTTCTATGGGGTAGTAGCTGTTTTTATTGCGCGTTTACTTTTTAAAAACTTTTATCACTTTGACTCTGTGGACTCGCCCCTAAATATTGTTTTTTTTTTTTTGTTTTTTTTGTGAGCGAGTTCTCGCCTCTGTCGCCCAGGCTTGGAGCCGCAGTGGCGACTTCAGCGCTCACTGCAAGCTCCGCCTCCCGGGTTCCTGCCATTCTCCTGCCTCAGCCTCCCGAGTAGCTGGGACTACAGGCGCCCGCCACCTCGACCGGCTAGTTTTTTGTATTTTTTTTAGTAGAGACGGGTTTTCACCGTGTTAGGATGGTCTCAATCTCCTGGTCTCTTGATCCGCCCGTCTCGGCCTCCCAAAGTGCTGGGATTACAGGCTTGAGCCACCGCGCCCGGCCCCTAAATTATTTCTTGTGCAAGATCCAAGAACCCTCTAGTGGGATATGGATCCAGACCCATTTCCTGTAACAGAGGGAGTTGGGGCTTGGTGGTTCCCAAAGAAGGTGTAACTTTCAGTGTCTCCTCTTCACCTACTATCCACAGCAGATTTATCTGGCACGCACTCTCAGTGCCACCGGTAGGAGCAGAAGACCTTGGGTGACCTAATCAACACCTTTTCAACAGTAGTTCAGTTTGAATATGTATTAGAAAACTATAAATAGTGAGCACACGATTAAATGGACATTATTCCTTTTCCTTTCCATTTAAGATTTTTAAAAGTGAATTAATTAAAAGGAAATGTTAAATAGATGGCAAAACTGATGGAGTTTTCCTAATGGCTGGAGTTAGGGAAGCACTGGACTCCGTGGTCAACTCAGCTTCCTTACATCCAGGTCACCTAAGGTGCCCTTCCTGCCCCTGCGGTTATGTCCACGGCTCCACCTCCACTTCCCAGTGAACTCTCCGGCAGAAAAAAAAGGAAAGAAAAAGGCTGGTTCTCAAGCACATGTTGTGCTCTCCCATTTCCTAAGATTTTGCACATGCCAGTCCTTCTACCTGGAGTGTCTCCTCGGTCTCTGCTTCCACCCTCACCTACTCGAATGCCACCTGCTCTGGAGATATTTCTGTGATGCCACCCGGCAGGCCCTTCCTCTAAGTTCCAATGAACCCTGTCCCGTTCTCCCTTGTGGCCACTGACTTACTGCAATGTAAGGAAGATGTTGCTTCACTGTCTCAGAGAATAAGGCCTCCTTGAGTACAGAGGCCATGGCCTGTTCATTTCTTTAACCTCAGGGTTCAGTACAAAGCATGAGATGGAGGAGGGAGTCAGAACATGGTTTTTGTGTGGTTTCTTGGGTTTTGTTTTGTTTTTGTTTTTGTTTGAGACGGAGACTTGCCCTGTCACCCAGGCTGGAGTGCAATGGCACGATCTTGGCTCATTGCAACTTCTGTTTGAACCATTCTCCTGCCTCAGCCTCCCGAATAGCTGGGATTACAGGTGCCCACCACCACGCCCAGCTAATTTTTGTATTTTTAGTAGAGACAGGGGGTTTCACCATGTTCGATCACAAGGTCGAACTCTTGACCTCGTGATCAGCCTGCCTCGGCCTCTCAAAGTGCTGGGATTACAGGCGTGAGCCACCGCGCCGGGCCAGAACATGTTTGTTGGATGGATGGATGGATGGATGAATGAATGAATGAATGAATGAATGAATGAATGACTGTCCTGGAGATGAAGATCTACAAAGCTGGGAGCATGAAGGTACACAAGGCCAGAGAAGTCTGAGTTTGGGGAAGGAGCCTGGGAGAAAGGGTTAGTGAGTGGAGGAGGGTCTGAGGTCTAAGTTTATGGCGAATGAGATTTGAGGGGAGGGGTCTGAGTGGTGGAGTGGAAAGGTATGGGGGCGCTGGAGTGGGACAGGAAGCTCTTTATGACTATTCATTTAATCCACACAACCCAATGAGATTGTCATTTCCCCCATTTTACGGATGGGGAAACTGAGGCATACTGAGGTGAGAAACTTGCCTGGGGGAAATCGCTAGTGGGGGTGGTACTGAGATTCGAACCCAGGCGGTTGGCTCCAGTCTGTGCTCTTGACCAATTTGGTCCGGGGCCCGGCACACAAGTAATCCCTGGTTGCCCTACGGCCATTATCACTAACTGAGGCAGCGGCGCGGGGCCTTGGGGGTGAGGGCAAAGGGGTCCTTGAGGTCGCCCTTGGACCTGAGGACAAGCCAAGCCGCAGGAAGAACGGTGCGCGGCGGCATAGATGAAGGGCCCGTTGCCATGGGAACAAACGCAGGCTTCGGGCGGGCGCATGCGCAGATCGGGGAGAGGGTGTTGAACCGGTGAAAGGTGACGTAAAAGCGCACGGGGTGGGGCGCGGGGCTCGGGACGTCAAAGCCCTGCGTCCTTCGGCCCCCGGAGCGGAGAAGCACGCACGGCAGCAGTGACAGCGGCCACTGCAGCGGCGACAGCAACCCCTGCTGGGCCGAAACTGGGCAGAGCGGAGCAGACGTCTGAAGCAGCGCTAGTGAGGCGCGAGGGTGGCGCCCGCGCCCGGGAAGACCCCCTCGGCGCGAACCGGCGGCCCAGCCCCGGGTCCGGGTTCCCGAGGCCCCGCCTCTAGGGCCTGGGGACTAATCGGATTGAAAGCGCGCCGGCCCGGGCCGCGAACTCGCCAATTGCGGAGGGCGGTGGCCACCGCCCAATCCGGAGCAGACAGGTGCGAGGTCCGGAAGGCGGAGGCCAATCGGCGGCGGTTGCGACCTGCTGGGGCAGGTCTCGGCCAATAAGGAGGCTCGAGTGACATCTTCGCCCACCAATCGGGAGTGAGGGAGCATTCGTGCCCGCTCGCCCTTCCGGCCAGACCTCTATTTACCAGGGGCGTGCAGCCCGCTTGCCAATCAGAGCGCGGCTGAGCGGCCCGGCAGCCAACCCCCGAGGAGCGGCCGGCTGGCGTCCGCCGCGCCCAGGAGTTGGGGATGTCCTACAAACCCATCGCCCCTGCCCCCAGCAGCACCCCTGGCTCCAGCACCCCTGGGCCGGGCACCCCGGTCCCTACAGGTGAGGATCCAGCTCCACCCCTGCTCGCCTGCCGGGCGGTCGAGGTCTCGAAGAGAAGACGGCCTGAGTTCTGCAATACTGGGCTTGCCGCCTACCCTCGCTGAGCCTCAGTTTGCTGGCCTGTGAAGTGGGCGTGGTCACGTAAGGGCTTGTAGGTGGAGCGCAGTGGGAGGGATTTGTCCCTGAAGTTGATCAGCCTGGAATGAAGCATCCTTTGGAGGGAATCGGGCGAACCCGGTCCTGGGCTTGGAAAAGCTGGGAGGCGGCGTCCCTGCCCCGCGCTGACCTCTTACTCGCGCCTGTTGCTGCAGGAAGCGTCCCGTCGCCGTCGGGCTCAGTGCCAGGAGCCGCCGCTCCTTTTAGACCGCTGTTTAACGACTTTGGACCGCCTTCCATGGGCTACGTGCAGGCTACATAGGCGATGAAGCCACCCGGCGCCCAGGGCTCCCAGAGCACCTACACGGACCTGCTGTCAGTCATAGAGGAGATGGGCAAAGAGATCCGGCCCACCTATGCTGGCAGCAAGAGCGCCATGGAGCGCCTGAAGAGAGGTAAGTGAGGCCAGGCCGCCCTGCTTAGGAAACCGACACTGGACTATCTTCCATTAGGGAAAGAAAGACATCCGGAGGCCACCTGAGCCAAGCCTAGAGGAGGGCCAGTATTACTACCCAGAGAGGTGTTTTGAATCGAATTGAAATTGCGTCCATTTCCAGGGAAGAGCCTGGGAATTTGTACTTCTACAGGGCAACCTTGAGGATTAACCAAACCTCTAATCTCATCTAGCCGTCATTAGTTTGGAATTTCTCTTGCTGAAAGGGGAAAGGGAGTGGGGAGGCAGGGGTCCTCCTCTGGAGGGCAGTGGGTGGGGCTGTGGAGGGTTGCTGAGACCCCACCCCACCACCAGGTATCATCCATGCTCGGGCCCTAGTCAGAGAGTGCCTGGCAGAGACAGAGCGGAACGCCCGCACGTAACAGGAAGTGCCCCGGCCTCAGCGTCTGGACCTTTCCCGGCCACTGCAGAGCACCCGCTTCTCCCTGGCCTTCATCCCGAGTTGCACTAACCATCCTGGGCTTCCTGTCCTGTGTCCCTTGGTGGGTCCCCTCCAGGAACCAAGGAGCGGCTCTCACTCCAGGTGGCAGCACTAAGGACATCCCCCCACAACAAGAGTTAGCAGCGAGGTCCCCATGAGTCCCACCCATGACCTGCCAACAGTGTTGCCCACCGGAACTTTCTGTGGTCCCCACCGCTCAGCCCTTCCCAGCCCTTCTCCCACTTTGTCCCGAGCCTCCTTCTCCCCCAGCAGGGGCTCAGGCCTGGCACCTCACTGCCTTGTGTCCTGAGCCATAGTGACTCTTTTATCTGTGTGTCTTTTGCTAAATATGACCTTTCTATATTAATAAAAGATGATTTGGAGTTGTGCTCTCAGCTCTGAGCCTTTCTGGGTCTGGTTCTTCAGCTAAGCCTGGGTGGGCCAGGCAGAGAAAGGGGAAGAGGAGACTAGGAGTGGGGAGGGTGTGACTAAACAGAGTTTGACTTGCCTCTGTGGGCCATCAGCCTCAGGTGGGAACCGGGCCCTCTCCGCCCCAGCCGTGGCGCTGAGAGCCCGGCGCCTTCCTGTGGTGCCACCAGGGGGCAGCACAGGGCCTGGCTGCTTCCACAGCCCTTGGCGCTGTGGGCAGCCTGGGCCTGGAGGGCGCTTCCTCTGGATTGGCGGTGATGCCTGGCAGCATGGAAATGCCAGTTCACGTAAGCCACTCCCTCAAACGTCCTAATGCCCTGACAACACCCCAGCCTCTGAATCAGCCCTGAAGGTCTCTGACTCCTCAGAGAGAACGGGCACTGCTGCTTCCAGCCCTTGGCCTCACAGTCAAGGGGAGGGGCTGGCCGGGTGCTGCTGTCACTACCCCAGCACCTTGTAGCAGGCTGGGTGGGATCCCATGAGCCCAGCCTTACGGTGCCTCATGAGGCCTTTGCCCAGACTCCGGGTGGCTGGGTGACCAGACTTGTGGACCCGGAAGGCAGAGGTGGGGGAGGCTTTGTGGCCCCATGCAGGGACTAGCCCAGCCACTCAGAGTGACAACCCGCTTCTGCCTGGGCGTGTAGCTGGGTGACCATAGAGGCCTGGGGCCCTGGAGCCCAGCCCTAGGTGGAGGCACGTCAGAGCCGCCAGCTTCTGGCTACACTGGTGGGGAGGCATTTCCTCTACCCTGGGTCCCAAATCTAAGGACTGGGTGAGAAGAGGAGAGTGGGCCTGGGACCCCCTTTATCAAACTCCACCTTGTCACTGTACACAGAAGGGCTGGGCTAGGGTGGAGATAGGAACTAAGAGTCTTTGGGGACCCCAGTCAGCACGGAGGGACTAAGAAGTGCCAGAATTTAGGCAATGGCCTCTTTCCCACTGCCCAGGAGAAGGAAGGCAGGGGCCTGCCTCCCCGCCTCCTCCGCTGCAGGCGGGGCTGCCCGGACCCCGCCGGGGTGGGGAGGGCTAGCCGGGCCCAGGAAAGGGGCGGGGCGGCCGCAGTGACGCGGCGGGCTGCGGGGAGGGACAGCAGGGGCGCCGGCGGGCGGATCGAGAGGAAGGTCGGGGCCATGGGCCGGCACTGCGCCTCGGGAGGGTCCGGCCACCGCTGGAACCCGAGGCCAGGGCTGGGGGCGCTCCGGGCTCCGACCCACGGGCCGGCCGGCCCTGCCCGGGCTGGGTGAGGGGCGCCCGCCTCAAGCTAGAGGTGAGCCGGGACGTCGGCAGGCGGGCCGAGAGCGCGGCAGGGGACCGGGACGCCGGCGAGCAGAGGGAAGTGGGGACAACGGGGCCTCTCGCTTGCTCGCGGGGTGCGAGTGGGGGATGGAGGGGTGCCTGCAGCGGAACCTCGGTGCCAGTCTGGGGCGCAGGTGGGCGGAGCGGGTCTCCAGGACCAGGGCCCGTGGGATACCAAGTGGAGCCACTCTGGCCTCAGCCTGAGGAGGGCTCACCCCCCCCAGAAGAGGACGGGGTGGCTGCCTAGGCGCGTGGAGAGCCAGCGAGGGCCGGGGGTCCAGGAAGGATGCTGGGAGGGGGAGGTCGAGGACCCGGCTGCCCTGCATGGTGAAGAAGGCAGATCTGGAGGGCGGAGGGGATTCCTAGTCCCCGAAGGTAGGTTCTGGTGCAGGGCATGGGGAACCCTGGCAGAGATGCTGGGCGCACGGGGCCACTCGGCGCAGAGACACTCGGGGAACAAAGCTCTAGGTGGACGTCTGAGAGTGGGGGACCTGGGACCCCGCCGACTCCGGGAAAGGGATGCAGGGGGCGGGTCCCCAAGGGGCCGGTCGCGGAAGGCGGGCCCGGAAGGAGGGACCCCGGGGCTTCGGAGGGCGCGCCCCCGAGAGATGCCGTTTCCCGGGGTTAGGACGCGGTCGCAGCGGGAGAGGCAAGGTGGCCCTCCCGCCCGCCGGCCGGAGCCTGGCGCTCCGGGGGGCCCGCGTCAGCGCGCGGTTGCCATGGCGACGGGCGGGCGGGGGGCGGGGGCTGCGCGGAAAAGAGGTCAGCGCTCAGCCTAGCTGCTGTTCCGGGCCCCGGCAGCGCGGGCGGCGGCGCTGGGCTCGCCTCTGCTTCCCCCGCGGTGGGCCCGGGCATGGGGTCCCGTGGCCTGAGCACCTCGGCCGGCGCGCAGGGCTCGGGGCCGCGCGCAGCCTCCCCGCACTGACTGCCGCGCCGTGCCCTGCGCCAGGAGGAGCGGAGGCCGCGCGCGGCCCGCCAGGCGCCTTCAGGATGCTCATCAAGGAATACCACATTCTGCTGCCCATGAGCCTGGACGAGTACCAGGTGGCCCAGCTCTACATGATCCAGGTGAGGGCGGCAGGGAGAGGGCACCCGGGCAAGGGGTGGAGCCCCGCCAACCCCGCCAGCCCTGCCACAGGGCTGGGACCGGCTGGGAGCCCGGAGGAGGCAAGAGAGGCCCCCTTCGGATGTGGGGATGGGGAAGGGCTGTGGGGAGAGGGGCAGGAGAGCCGAGTGGTGCTTCTCACCCGCTAAGTGCCCAGCCCTTCTCTGATCTCCTGTAATCCTCCTCAGGATCTGTAATCCCATCGGGGAAGGAAAAAGCGCTCAGGAGGCGGCAAGAATGAGGAGGGGGCCTCCGCGGCCGAGGAGGGCGGGAGGGGTCTGGAGAGGTGCAGAGTCCTGGCCACCCCTGGAGGTCAGGGAGATGGGGTGAGGACCAGGCGCCAAACCTGGAGCAGGGACAGGGCAGCAAGGATCGGAGGGCGAGGGGGCTCTCGGGTAGGGCAGTGAGAAGAGTTGGCCAGGGCAGGCCCTCAGCAGTGGCCGGGTTGGTGCAGGGCCCCGGGGAGTCTGCTCCAGATCTCTCCCCAGTACAGCAGGACTAGAGTCTCATAAAGCAAGAGGGCCCGGACCCTGCCTCGGGGTTGAAAGGGCCATCTGAGCCCCAGAGTGATAGAAGGCAGGATCTGGGGGCTCTCAAGCTGTGAGGGGTGTGGCAGGAGCTGGGATTGGGAGGTGGCCTGGGCCTCCCAGAGAGGGAGGGGGCCAGGGTCCCCTTTTCCTCTCTTTGTCCCTTCTTCCTTGCCAGCCACCCTGGCCTCCTTGCCACCCGCCAGCACATCTAGTACGCTCCCACCTCGGGGCTGCACTGGCTTCCCCCTGCCTTGAGCACCTCCTCCCACCTCACCTCCTTAAAGTCATGTTCAAGCCATGGTCACTTTATGTTCTTAGCAAGGCCTTCCCTGACTATCAGATCAAAACTGCAGCCCCCAACCCTGATCACCTGTACCCTACTGTAGGCTTTCTTTTCCCATAACACTTAGCGCCTTCTAACACACTGTATAATTTGCTTTTTCCTTTTGTCTGTCTTCTTCCACTAGAATGTAAGCTCCATGAGGGCAGGGGTCTTTGTTCTATTCATCAATATATCTCAATTGATAGAATCCCAAACACTGCCTGGGGTGGAGCAGACACTCAATGAATACTTGAATGACTGAATTGAGTGCTGGGTTGCAGACCCCATGCAGGGCTGGGCTGCATCTGATTCCGATCCCAGGGAGCTTCGGTGGGGCAGTGTCTGGTTTCAGGGAGTTGAAAAGACTGGGACCAGGGCCCCAGAACTGCGCAGAACACCAGCCTAAGCTGGGGATCCCAGATGCTAAGCTGGGGCTGAGCTCCCTATTCTGCTCTCCCTTGGGCCACAGAAAAAGAGCCGGGAGGAGTCTAGTGGTGAGGGCAGCGGCGTGGAGATCCTGGCCAACCGGCCCTACACAGATGGGCCCGGGGGCAGCGGGCAGTACACACACAAGGTGTACCACGTGGGCTCCCACATCCCAGGCTGGTTCCGGGCGCTGCTGCCCAAGGCTGCCCTGCAGGTAGAAGAGGAATCCTGGAATGCCTACCCCTACACCCGAACCCGGTGAGTGGGTGAAGTGGGCATGGTCCGGGGCCAGGAGGGGAGCAGCCCTGGTGGGTACGGCAGTGAGCCTCACCCATGCTTTCTGCCCAGGTACACCTGCCCTTTCGTGGAGAAATTCTCCATTGAAATCGAGACCTATTACCTGCCTGATGGGGGGCAGCAGCCAAACGTCTTCAACCTGAGTGGGGCCGAGAGGAGACAGCGCATCCTGGGTGAGGCCTGGAGCTATGGAGGGACCCTGGCACCCCTCTCAGTCTCCTGGCTGCCTCAGTGGGCAGCCTCTGAGAAGTCCCAGCCCTCTCCAAGCCTCATGTCCTATCTGCAAAAGGACAGGAACTGTCACCCAGTCCCAAGAGGGTGCCAGGAGCGGGGGCTCAAAGGGGCTGGCACTGCTCAATGCTCGCTGAACTCCCTCAGACACCATTGACATCGTGCGGGATGCAGTGGCCCCAGGCGAGTACAAAGCAGAAGAGGACCCCCGGCTGTACCGCTCGGTCAAGACAGGCCGAGGGCCACTGACTGATGACTGGGCGCGGACGGCGGCGCAGACCGGGCCCCTTATGTGTGCCTATAAGCTGTGCAAGGTTGAGTTCCGCTACTGGGGCATGCAAGCCAAGATCGAGCAGTTCATCCACGATGTAGGTGAGCACCCAGCCGCGGGAGGTCCTGCTTACCCAGCATGCCCATGTTTAGGGCCAGGGATGCTCCCATCCACTGGGGACACAGAAGCAGAAAGCCATCATTTCCAGTTGAGGTGGGGAGCACTAGGGCAGAGGTGGCCGCACAGCCAAGCCAGGCATCCACAGAGCAGGAAGCTGGTAATATGAGCTACAAGGTCCATGCTGACTCTGACTTTCAGAAATGCTGCTGCTTCCATTAAGATTCTAAGATTCTCCATCATCCTATGAGCTCGGTGAGACTTAGTGATGCTCAGGAAGGTCACCTGCTCTAACTGGCAGCATGCTAAGGAGTGCAGGCTGAGGCTGTGACTCTGATGTCATTTTCTCTGGGATTCCCCCCCTCCACTCC